AGACCATTCTTCAGATTAATCTTGCTCAAAAATTACTGTTACTTCTTTAAAAAAAAATTAACTTGAGTTCCAGGGGAACATTTTTTTTTCAAAATGAAAGAGAAAAAAAACAGGGTACGTGTCAAACGTGTGTTCGGTGAACTTCATACTCGATATCAACAGGGAATTTTTCACCTATTTCTACACAAAATTTAAAAACACGAAAAATCAAAATTCAACTCGACTACAATTCAAGCCAAAAATTTTAATTCTGATGCATTCAATTTTCGAAATATTTCAATTTTCAGTCTCTAAAAATGAGGTGCGCATCTTAATCGGAGACACTTCTTAAAATCCAAATATTAGGCTTAATAATTGTGCGTCCGGGCCTTGCTTGAAAACATGTTGGTATTCGAGTAAATACGGTCATCACGAACCTGTTCACAAAACTGGGCTTGGCTATGTTTATTGCCCGCATTCAAACGCTCATCCTGGTCAAGAGAAACGGCAGCTGCAGATGGCCCATTCGCGTTGGCAGAAAGAACAAGGACCTTTTCACTGAGACCCAGAGCCGCCGTTTGGCCCTTGAAGAACGAGTGCTGGGACACGCAGGTCTTCCACACATACTTGGCCAGCTCTTGTTCGCTAAATACAAACCGGGCAGAATCTTCCACCCGTTGGCACTCAATCGTAAATTCCTTCTTCTGGTTCACCAGGTTCGTGATATCCGACCATCTGCAGTATCGGACACCTGATGGGTTCAAATACCTGCAATTCAAAAGCCGCTTCATTAACTTGATTCTTCTCGCTTCAAATATTTTCCCCAACACCATGCTTCTAGTATTTGCCATGATTCAAGTGTTGCCTGAATTCTGTTCTGGTTTCTCAAGTTGTACTCAGGCACAGTTCTCAATAAAACACAATTTTCAGCTAATGACAATTTTTTCAAGCCCTGGCAGATCACTCAAGTTTTTAAAAACGATAATGAAAAAATATGAGAATGCCAGAAAAGCAAGATCTAATTAATTATAGACAGGTCTGATATAAAAATTGATTCCATGCCATTAATTTTGAAAATCTTGTCATAACAAATTATTCAGTACAACATACTTCTCCTGAAGTCCCCGAAATTTTGTTATACCGAGATTTCACTGAATCACGATTGAGTCAGATTAATTGAATTGTTGACAGATGAAGTCATTTTTCACGAAGTTTGCGATTCGGGCGACACCTTCCCGACACTCCCGAAGTTGAAATCGTACGTTGGAGGAAAATTGATCCTCAATTCAACAATTAATTACATTAATTTTGATTTATTTGAAAAAAGGGGTCGAAATATAAAACAAACGTGTTCGTGTTCTCATTCGAAAAGTGGAATCTTATCCCAAGTTTTTCAGTCTCA